TGTGTGTGTGTGTGTGTGTGTGTGTGTGTGTGTGTGTGTGTGTGTGTGTGTGTGTTTGCCAGTGTTGTAAAATACCAAAAAAAAATTCTTAGGGAGTTGAATGAATGAATGAACATAATAGATTCAATTAAAGAGCGTTTTACTACAAACGTTTTGCCACATGCGGCGAGCTTTTGGCTTTGAAAAAAATAAATTAATTAGCCAAATTTAATAACAGCTACGAACGCCCAAGAGCCTTGCTCTATGAATGCTCTAGGGTATGCCAAATATCTAAAAAAAGAATAACACTTAAGTCTTAAGTGTATTGGACCTATTCCTCATTCATCCACAACTTCAAGTCCCAAGTCTTGGGTCTTTGCACTCCCCCTTTCCCCATGTGGAGTTATCAATTGTTTGGTCTCTTTAAGGCACCGCAAACTTTGTAGCCCAATAACGACAATTCCTTCGCTTTATAATGCAGGAAATGCGCAGACGACGCGCCAAGAATTCACAAAGAGCCCAATTCCTTTTCGAATATTTAAATGCGCAGTCGCAGCCAGATGGCAGCCACATGAACGTCATCAAGCCTGCTGGGAAGTGGGCACGTGAATCTACACTGTACATCTAGACATTTATGAGCGATAAACATATGCATATATAAATATATAAGTGTATGTGGATATATATACCATTCCATATATGTTATATACACGTTCAGCAAAATGCCAAACAAAAGACTTGAAAAGTGTGGCGTTGCGAATCAAATTATATATTTCAGCTGTTACACAGATGGTTTTCACTTTTCTTTTTGTTCTTCACAATAAGGAAACTATTAGAGAGTATAAGTGAGGCATATGTCATTATTAATCAGAAATCTACTGAGTTCATTTCGATTTGCAATATAGAAAGAATATCTATAATCATATAAAATATACATTTAATATTCCTAATATTCAATAACTCAAGAGTTGTTATAGACATCTTTAGTATTAGTCTATCTCTAGTATTAATATGAGCTGTAAAATAAATTCATATGCAAAACGAATTCTCGCTTTTCAAGTTTTCTTTACAACTCATTTGCATAAAGACCCAACTTTAAACTGATCCATAATCGACACTTTTACATTTTCTGAACCTATAAAGAGTATATGCAAGAAGCATAAACACATGAAGTTGTTCCCTTGAAATATATATAATATTTGTCAAGTGAAACAGGTTGATTTCTTTATAGTCTGTCTGCCTGTCTTAGTGCTTCAAACTCTCCCATGGCAAGCCCATATCAAGTTAGCTTCTTATTTATTATTGTTTTAGCTACATCGAGCTTGAGTCACTAAATATGCTATACATATTTATCTATCTACCTATTTTAGATGCTGTGGTTTAGTATATCTTATCTGTCTAAGAGATTACTCTGCAGAGAATAGCAAATCTATTGACTTTGCCTCCAAGAACTTTTAAGAATAGTTGGAACACACAAACATACCATACAGTCATTATATAGATATATTTTAAGGCATCGCCAGAATGTATAAATTATATATAGATATAGATTATAGCTAAGACAGCTTTAGACAATATTTTAAAAGACTTTAAAAGTCTGTCTTCATGAGATTTATATATTAATTATTGATTAATTATAAATAATTGCAGGGCATCTCCCAGTGTGCCATACCCAACTGCATAGCTTCTACCCATTACACTTGGCTTTATACAACGTCTTCTTCATTTCGCTGCACTGCTTTGCCTCGACCTTTTGGAATCAGAGTCTGTTTTTTTTTTTTTGTCTTTTTTAGGAAATCTTGTCGACAGGTGTTTTCGGCATGGACATATTAAAGTGGCTCGGTCAGTTTTTACCCTATCTTGAGGTTTTTGGCAAACGGCAAGCACAATAAACAAACCAACGGAACCGGTTTTATACTTTTTTTTTGCCGGCAATCTCTTTCTAGATGCTGATGACGCTAGCAGCTGCTCGACTCATGCGATTTATCTGAGCAGAAAAAAAACTCAACTTAACTGCGTCTCTCAATTCACTACGCTCATAGAGTACAGATATAAATATAGCTATACACATATGTATATGTATATACAACTGGGCGACTTCTGAGTGCAGTAAATATAGCGCAATTCCGTATGTGGCAAAGTGATTAAGTGCGTAGGGGATTGCAAGTGTCGTTAATGGGTGCTAAGGTCGCGTTGCCCTCTGTCACTCGAGTCTAGAATCAAATGCAGGCAACGCTGGCGCCACAGTAAGTAAACAGTAGCGCGAACAGCGACAGCCACATAAACAAATATGTATGAGAAAAGCATTTGTCGGAAAGTATGCTCAAATGACGCATAGCTAAAGAATTTCAAGTCGAAGCAATGGCTTGAAGAGAAAACAAGGAGTATTATTGCTAAGAAATAGATGAAAGACAACATAATATAGCTGCATATGCGATATATGATATATAGATATATCAATATAGATATTCTCAATTTTACTTTCAATGCCTGCCAACGCCTTTGCCTATTGACGCCCCAGCAATACCCAAACCCAGCCCCGCCTCCGTTAATTAGCCCTTGCCCCGTTACACTTACAGTGTCCCAAACAAAACACGCAATTATTTGTAACGCCCATCGATGATGCGTGTTGGGAAAGCAATGAAAATGAAAGGAAATAAGAAATTAATAATTTCCTGTCTAGCCAAAGCAAAGCGCAGAAGCTCAATAGGCACACGTATGACGCGCCCCAAATATGCCGTTCAGCACGCACCTAGATTACAGGTCTCGGGTCACAGGTCACAGTTGACAGGTCAGTTTGGAGGTTGGTTTACAAGACACACATACACATACACACATAGACTCACACGCAAACGAAATGTTATTTTTATTACGAGTGAAACAATAGAAATATTTATAGAGCTGTTTTATAGACAAGCTCTCCTATTATAAGAGTCCACATATAAGATTATACGTATGCAAGTTAGTTATATATTATATATGTATATACAGTATATGTATATTTATGTATATTATTTTTATTAATCAACAAATTGATAAGACGTAATAGCATACAAAATTTGAGGGAGATGCAGAGAGATAATGTGTGATAAAAATAAATAATAAATAATAAGTTATCATAAATATCTAATTTGATGAAATTGACAAAGATAAAAATAATATATATATTTGATTTAATTTGTAAAAAATCAAAAAATAACACAAAATTTAAAAAACAACAAATTTTAAATAAATATGTTATCATAAATATGTTTATCATTAATCATCAATTAATAATTTTATTTTATGATTAACACATATACCTTTTTGATAAAATTATTAAAATGAAAATTAATAAATAATATTGTAGGACATATATTTAGTCAACATATAATTCATTATATTATTTATTGATATTAATTCATTTATTTATTTATATTAATAAAAATAAAAACTAGTAAATACTATTGTAAAACATATATTTAGTTAACATATAATTTATTTTATTAATTTATCATATTAATTTATATATTTATTTATATTAATAAAAATGAAAAATTAATAAATAATATTGTAGAATATATATTTAGTCAATATATATAATTTATTATAAATGTTCATATATTCATATTCATAAAAATAAAAATACTAAATATATTTGATAAAACTAATAAAAATAAAAATAAATCAATAATATTGTAGAATATATATCTAGTTAAATAATATATCATAAATATAGAATAAAGGTGTGCCAAATGAGAAATTAATAAAAATTAGAGCAGCAAAATCAATATAACTATATCGATGCCATTAAAACTGGCAATAAATATGCCTAAATATAAGACAGATTTTAGTATTCCGTTCTAATACCTCTTATAACCATATATACATATATATAAAGCACACTTCTGTGTGTGTGTGGAAAGCAGAAACATCTGCTGACAGCCATAAAAACCTGTTCGCCAGCTGTTCGAGCACCGCCAAACATTTGGAATTGGCTTGCAGCTTTGCCCACTCATTCACTAATTCGCTCTTTCATTAGATTCGTGTCGCGGCTAAGACCCACACAGAGTCACGTTTAGAGCGGCCAATGCGAGCTTTAATCAGTGTTTGGCCAAACTGCAATTAGCTGAATCTTACTGCAACGTAGCCCACGCGAAGCTGGCTTAGAATTCGAGCGAGCTAGCACCGTCCGCGCGGTGCTCGTTCGCAGCTCAATTAAAGTCAGCGGCGACAACTA